AGATCAATGGGCATTTTGTAGACGGCGGCCTGGAATTTTGAAAAAATGGATTTAAAGGACGAATTCACGATGAAAAAGCAACCTGTTTCAAATTGACCATAGGGATGGTGAGTAGTACACGAAAGAAGGAAGAACCATGAGAAACGGCCCAGAACTCGAGAAATGGTACCCCTTCCTTGCCCGCTGATTCGAGCATTGATGCGACTACAATCTCTGTGCCCACTTCAGCACTACGCTCTCTCACCTATCTAATCACTCGCCACGTATTGAACCACGGCGAGTGACCAGATGATCGGTGGGCGAACATCGCCGAACCCGCCAGCTTTGAGGCATAATAGGTCGCCGAGGTCAAATTTTTCCATGCAAATTGCGCGTCAGTTCGCACCTTCAGGAGGTCCGTGGGTCCCTCAACTAGGTCAGTTTCGCTTTCTTCGACCTTCATTCTAACCGTGAATCCTCCTTTAAGGAACATCGTAATAGCATTTCACACGGACGACATCAGAATATTCTGCCACGTAAACATAATGTAACGCTCGAGCTCAGTGAGGTTTTCAACATTAATACTTCATTCATACATAGTACATACATAGTTATAGTCCTACGCCTGCCCATACCAGACGAAAGGGAGCGTCAAGGTTTCAAATATTCTGCAGATGCTGCCATTTTCGATCCTCACTCCACGCTATTAGCATGTTGACGACAGCGCACATTGTGGGTTTTTCCATCTCGTGGGACATGAGCTGTTTGTCTCGCTGAGAGCTGGATGGGAATTACTGTTTTTGGATATCAAGACAGTTCGGGACAAGCCCTAGTAAGCACTTGAGTTTAGGAGATGTGTACCTATTTTTCTCTTAAGCCAGAGGAAGTGACTCAAACCATGACACCATTGTCAGCAAGTCCGCGCCAGACTTCCTAGGTTACCGCTAACAAAGCTCTCAAACCGTTGCTCGAAAGCCAGCGATACAGCGTTACCGTTCCTGTGAGTGCCTCAGCAAAGGCATGATGGCAAAAAATTAACCTTTCAAATTGGCCAAGCTTAAATTCAATAAAAACCTATGGGAAATTTACTTTCAGCCGATTGCCGACAATTCGACAAGTCGTGTCGAAAACACCCAATCCAAGAACCTTGAGAGTAGGCACCCTGCTAGGTAATCCCCGAATCGCCCTGGTCGTGCTCAAATGGATGATTGAAGCGCACTGTAGAGACGGAGTGTTACAGGTTTTCAAGTGTTAACACACTGACGCCTGCACTGATTCCGGCGCATCTTTGTCACACATGTGACATAGCTGCATTACCTGCATTCATACCCGGCGATGCACAAACCTTTCATTCGAGACATTTTGTGGAATTTCCACAAAATGTCTCGAATGAGACGGTCACAATCTACATGACCCAAATATCTCGCTACGAGACCCATATATTTCGCCACAGGATCCACACAGTCTCAACTGCAACCCCCATTACGCTGGCAACGTATTGCTTTTGTACATTCTTTGTTCTACTTTTCTCGTTTTTTCTTTCGCTTCTTACTATTTTTTGCTCGGTTTCTCATCAGAAAGTGTATTTAGTATAGGAGATATAGGAGTTTATTGTCAAGCAGTTTATGAGGGTTCGAACTGAGACACTGGTTGTGCAACTTGAAATCCCAAAAGTATCTTGAAATTGAAGATGGAGAGCAGCCATGTATTTTGTGGATTCGAGGTACTAGTGGACTTCTATATTCACAAAAGTAAAAGAAAAGACATGGGGGGAGCTTAATATCAATTTGCATACCGGGCGATGCACAAATGTCAGATGTGGGAGTTTCGACGTGCATATCCGACGATGCACGCGGGCTGCAATGTGTCAATATTGATGTAGATTTTGTTAAGTAATTGTCAACGAAGGCTGAATACTCAAGTTGACCTACACCTCTGGATACCACGTTTTCAATGAACCAAGTAAATATTAGGTTGCTCGGAAGTAATGCGGGTTTCGAGATGCCTTACGTGTTGGAATATTTTCATACCAAAACTCTAGGTGAGTCCTGAAGTCCTATATGTCATTAGCAATCATATTCTATCCTCTTTCCTCCAGTTATTTGAATTTCAGTTTCACTTGTTATATTGGGATTTTTGCAATGTTGAACTGAAGGGGTCGACACAGCGGTTTGGGCAAGTTTTCTTTGATGAGCTGAAACTCTGAGGCCGTACTCCTCAGACCTGTTGAAGTAACACTGAAGGATGGAGCCGTAGAAGCATCTCCAGGTTTTCAGTCTGACTGTGCTACAGCAAGCAGTAGGACCGGAAGTAGGCATATTGAAATAATTTGGCTCCTGAAGATTGGAGAGGTGAAAAAGAGGAGCAGGTGGCTTCCGCATAGGGCGAGTGCAGCAGAAATGGTTTTCTCAGGGGTCGTTTCCGCCTTTTTTAACAAAAGCTACAGTATTCGGTGTGCATTATATCATCTACGACGGAAAATGGACTCTTTGCAATTACAGGAAGCCATCTCTCTGACAGTTTGACCGCGATATATCCTCCAAAACTTCCTCAAAGCCGAAATAGTATAAGATTAAAGTTGAGCTGAACATTTGTGGTACAACCCGGCGTTTGGAAAAATCGTCAGTTCAACACCACACCGATGTCTCAACAGCATACTGAAAATATGCTCTAGAAACATAATGTTCGTCAACCAAGAGAAGTAAACAAAGTTGGCTCCAAGGTGGACCTCAGCCACTTGTCGCCTAAGTGACCCCGCAAGTTTTGAACAAATTGGCGTACGAAGCTGCGGGGCACATGTCTTGCTCATTAGACATCTTCTACTTCTTCTTTTTATTCTTTCGCGTCTGTCCCGCTTGTAAGCGGGGTCCGCTTTTCTTATGTGTTGACGCCACTTTTCCCGATTAAATGCTTGATCGGGGTGGATATTGACTGACTACAAGTCTACGTGCAATGTATCGAGCCATCGCTGCTTCGGGTGCCCCCTAGGCCGCTTTCCGGGCACGTCAAGGTTGAGCGATCTTAGCGACACTGTCATCTTTCGCGCGAAAGACATGACCATTACCATCGAAGACGGGCTTCGCGCACTTGTCGAACAATTGGACTACCCCGAATCGCTCTTGATGACATCCGTTTTGGATGTGGTCTACTCGTGTGACAACATCCGAAACGATGTCATTCCGGCTGTCCATCGCAGCATTCTTGGTCTCCATCACACTTAGCGTGCTTTCGATCTTCTTTAGTCGTAGGCCAGCACTCAGCACCGTGAATCACATACGCCGGCCCAATGACGGTCTGATAGATCTTAGATTTGAGAGTTTCTGGCATGTTTTTACGCATGAGAACGCCAGTCTTCGAGCGCCATTTCGACCAAGCTGCATTCACGCCGAGAATTCGTTTCGAAAGACAGATTGCCGTCAGACGCGATTGCTGATCCAAGCATACTTGAATGATGTTGCAGCGAGTGAGTTCAGTACCATTGATCTTTTGATAGAGCCTAACTCACTCGAATCGGTGGTCAAGTACTCAGTCTTCTTAACGTTCAGCTCGAGCGCCGAACATAGCTAGACGTCAGACCAGTGTTGTACGCTGTTGCTCGAGCGTAGCTTTTATCTTCGCTATGCGAGCATCACTGCATCAGCATAAAGGAGTGTCCATGAGCCGCGCTCTCTGGAGATCTCTCGTAATGGCATCCATGACGACAACAATAGGAGGCGGGATAACGCAGAGCCTTGATGTCCCCGACAGGGATGGAAAATCAATCGATGTTCCTGCTGCGTTTGCACTCGCTCTTTAGACTCGAGTAAAGGATGCGCCACACTCGACGAGCCTTCAGGCACGCAATGCTGTCATAGGCATACCGTATAACGTCGGCGGAACGCGGTCGAATGCCTTCTCCAATCTAGGAAGGCAAGGTGCACCGGTCTTTGTTTTTCGCGATGCTTTTTCTAGCAGAAGGCGGACGGCATGTATTGGCACTGATAGTGCTGCAACTAGCACAAAACGCACACTGGTTGGCGGTCAGCTCGACGATGTCCCGGATACGGCTATCTACAATCGCTCAAAGATTTTCATGCTGTGCGAAAGCAGGCGAATTTGGACGATAGCTAGTGCAGTCTCCGGATTGCCCTCTTTCTTCCAGATAGGAATTCGTCGTGCTTTGTTGCCAGCTTTACAGGCGGCTTCTTTTCTGCAACGATCGGTTGAGAACTCCGTCAACCATTGCAGGATTGCAGCATTTTGATTTTGACAAGTCTGCTGCTAAGTCGTAGGGCAGTTGCTTGGCTGATTTATCTTCTTCATGGCGTGATATTCTCCTCCCACGGTTATCTTCTGAACGGGACCGTTGTTACTGGCGGAGCGCAGGGGATGGCGTGATGAGTAAATTCGTTGTTTGAGATGTTTTCGAAGTAGTCCCGCCATCGCTTCAGTGTTTTCTTGCGGTCCGTTAAGAGGTGGCCATTCTCGTCATTTATGCGAAGGGTTTTTCTATATCTCGGTCTGGCGATGGCGGCGTTTTGCAAGTCGGTAAACGTACCGCTTCCATCGCGCGACTCGAGTTTCTTACTGATATCAGCAAATGAGCTGCTTTCGCAAAAGCGACGCGCCTTCTTTGGCCTCTTCTTCGCTATCTGATAGCTCCGCCAGTTCTCAGCTGTCTTTTCGTGAAGAAATGCGTGGTACCGCGTCTTCTTTTCGCGCACTTCTCTGACTGGTCCAGTACAGCAGCCACGTTTTGCTTGTCCATTCTCCGCGGCCCGCTTCGTCATCCGAGCCCGGATCGAGCTAACCGAGTTATTTCTTTGGCAGCACCTTTCCAGGTGTCTCGTCGACAGTCGTTACCGCGTGTAATTGAATGCGGGAAATGACGGCTGCTTCTTTTTTCCTTCAGTCGCACCACTTGATTCTCGCTGGCCACACCTTTCGGTTAGTTTCGGTTTCGGCGGGGCGATCTTTAGCGTACAAATTAGTGGTCGGTGTTGCGTGGCGTTTATAAGCAACTGTTCTTCGCGTCTGTTACGAGTCCTTCGTCGCGGCGACCTGACAAGCTACGCAATCAATTGTGTTCTAGTGTTCACCCTGTAGAAGGTGATGAGATGTGAAGTCGCGTTTTCGGAATTTCGTGTTCACAATGGCGAAGATTGTGCGAGTCTACATACTCGAGATTCGCTCGCCATCGGTGTTACGTAACCCATATCCAAAACCACCGTGACAGCTGTAACCGTTTCTCGTAGAATAGTCGCTCCATTACGATGCGCACTGATGTCCTGCGAAATTAGAAGCTTCTTGTGACGAACTCAGCTGTCTTCTCATCAAGCAGATTCCAGAACTTATCTTTGGCTTGGTTCGTAGGCATTCTCTGGTCTCTGGGCGTGTACGCTAGAAAGAAGTGTTGAGTATCGTTGGTTCGTCTCGCTTAATGACGGAGCGATTTGATTTCGCGGTGGTCATTATTCGTCCGTTCTCGACAGTACCAAGTGTGTACTAGCGCGAGGTGACCACGATAAGCACGTTCAAGAGATGAATGGCTGATCCGACGGCACTATGTGCGTGGTTTTTGCGGAGACGCTGTGGTAGAGCGCGGGCAACAATGTCCCTCGCGACATTGCAAGCCAGGAGGACACCCTATTGCTTTGCGCACATGCACGCAGAGACAGAAGCGATCTGGCACCTAGTGCTCGGTCAAGCAGCGCGGCTCTGTTGCCGACTCATGACCAGCTGTGCACTAGCGAGCAACCATTATACGTGGCGCCACACACTATTAATGTTGCAATTGCGGGTCGTGTACGTATTCGATTGACTATCGCCTATTTGCGACGCTAGGCTCTAGCTGTGGCCCCGACGATGCCCGTGCACCTGTGCACCGGACCCTCTAGCCTTCTTACACACATCGCGCGTTGCCCATCCCGTCATCCCACGCGCGCTCATTCGCCGGTCCCACGCCTGAGACGTGCCTCGCGTCGGCTCCGCGGACGCCGGTAAAGCAGTATCGTCGACAAACCTATGGCCGACATTAACATTTGGGATGGACGTGGTTGTGGTCGTAAGCCGGTGCCTGCATCACAAGAAGGGTTGGGACTGTATTACGCCTTGCATTGTCGAATGTACGGTGGGCGGCTCAGCTCACAAAGGTGGGATCACCGGTTTCCAGTGGGCCAAGGACCCTTGTCCCCCCAGGACGGCACACCCCGCCACCGCCGCTATTTAGAAGTCGTCATCTAACCAAATACTCCCCTTTTTCAAGCCATCTAAACAAAGTCTGGGGTAGGAAATGCTTCAATGTTCAAACGAGTGTGAAAATGACGCTCAGCGATATCATCGCCTTCGGAATCGCTGATACTAATGTGGGAAGGAAATTTTGGAATACATCTTGTTAAGAAAGACTAGTGCTTTAGATTAGTTTCTGTCGCGTCAAAGAAATGCTCGATTCGAGAGGAAGTATGCCTTTTTGAAAATGGAAGATAAAATCCCGCATTACTTTCCGAGCAACCTGATTGTGTTCGTGTAAACTTTCACATCTATTCACAATAGCGCTAAAACGTCTTCAGTGAGACCTTTTTTGGTGGTAACTTTTTTCTGCTAGATCTATACTTTCACCCTGACGCTTTCAATTTGAGTCACTGAACTAAATCAGCATATCCTCTGGTTTGGAACGTTTCCCATTAAGACCCGCTCATTCCCACTGCCGTCGCTGAGAAAAATGCTAATCGCGTATCCACTAGTATGGCAGCTTTGCAGTACTGACGTCTTCTAGCAATGCATAACAGCTCAACTGTGCAAGAGTGCTTTTGACAGTATGGCGTGCTTGATAGTGAGATCAATTAGGACTGGCATCTTGAGCACTGGCAAAGGGTCAGGAAATTGTATGCAAAAAAGAGCTAGGAATATCGACAAAACACTGCTAATTGAAAGAGAAGCGGAGGGAGTTGCCCCAATAAACAGTAAATTCATTTACTGATTCTACATTGAGGCTCTCTTTTTGTATGGACCGACACGCAATTGGCATCGAAGGATATTCCGGCGTCTAGCATAACCTTCCACGTGACGCCATTGGTGCGCTATGGACGCATAATGCCCCTGTGTGAATGCCTTATCGCAGTTCACCCTCCATCTAGCACAGAGAGCGCTAGCGCTGAAGAGGGAGCAGCGATGAGAGTCGCACCAATGCAGAAGTTAGCGGGTAAGGAAGGGGTCCCATCTATCGGGTTCTGGGTCGTTTCTCTTGACTTTTTCTCCTTTCGTGCATCGTGTACTTCTCTAACTTAGTTTACAATGGTTTTCTTGTCATCGTAAAATTCGCATTTAATGCTATATATCATGCAATCAATTGTTCCGGATTGTTAGCATTATTCAATAGCTCGAAATTTCCTTGGAATTAGGTCGAAATTGAGAATTTCTACTGAACTGATATCATCATTGTTCACTTTTCTCGTTTGTGACAGGAAATGCTGATTTAAAATGAAAGGGGTTTGCCTTTCAAAATATATTACAACCTGAAGTACTTGGATCCAGCAAAGAAATTGTTCACAAGGGAAGGGTTTTATCGGGGATCTGAGCGCTACTGTAGCTCTCTTGAAGTATCACTAATGAAGCTTTTGAGGGAGACTATTCTGGTCCCAGAAAAATTGATGTCGAATGGAGTGAAACAATATTTATAAGCATGCTGTATATAGAGCTGAGAGTTTTGTGTTCAGATGAAAAATACAGATCAATCATTCTTGACGCTTGTACCGATATCAATCAGTCGATAATATGCCCGGCCAAGGATTTCATGAAACCTAGCGTAATTCAGAACATTGCAAGGGTGCTGGACGATGACGGTGAGTAAAGTAATCCTCAGAAATAATTTAGTGTTGGTGTTAATCAGGAATTGCAAGATGAAGTTCAGCGGACCAAGGAGGGCCTTCTTGAAGTGAAGGGACATGTGATCACTTATCTTCTTGAGACCACATCAGAATAAGATATTTCTTATACGTGTGTAGTTAAGGTGTGCTTACGGTGAATATTCTCAGCTCAAGAGATTACATAGCAAATGAGGAAGACATACTCTCTATCTTTAAAAAGCACTTCTCAACTTGTTTTCTTCTAAGATACAACGAAACACAAAGGGTGAGTATGGGGCACGCTTGAAGGCAAGGGTCAGTGTCAGCAGTGTCATAGGAGAAATCCTTTCGATGTATAGAGGTGCTAGGTCATCCATTGCAGTTGTTGCGCCACTTTTGCGCCTCCAAATGCGTCAAAGAGTCGCTAAGCAGCCCTCCTACAATCATAACGATCCCCGCTCGCCCATCTTTTAATATCTTATCTGTGTCGTGATGTTGGCCAGCTATGTTCTCTCGACTCAAGCTACAGTCCATATCTCGAAGTGGGGGAGGGCGGGGCTGCGGACTACATTGCGAGCACGTCGGCGGTTGCGTGCCTATGGAAGTTTGCCGTGAAATGTCTGTGTCAATTGTGCAAAAACACTGCCTCGTCGTCTCTGCTTTCTTTAGTTCTCCTCCACTGCTACAGTCACTAGGTGCTCTTCCGTCTGGATATCGCAGCGTATTGACTTGCGAATCAGCTGTTTCCAACATTATTCGGCTGCAAACTGGTATTTTACTGCTCCGCCAGGCTTCTTTAAGCAGAGGTGAGTTATTTTTATCTGAGATAATGTTGTTTCACAATAATATAGCGTGGTTGTTTCACCGCTTTTCATTTCCTCATGACGTTCCTACCGAATAGGTAATTTTATTCAGTTTTTACCTTAATTCCTGGATTATTCGACTTGCTCTTCATCCCGGTGTCTTTGCTGTGTTCCGTTTTTTGCCTGGAACTCACATTGACACTGTTCTGAAGGTTGCAGTCGTTTCGAAAAGTGATTTTGTCATGGTTTCACCGCACTCGCCACGATTTTTGCTGCTACGTGAGTTTCCTTTTTTGTTTTGATTAGTTCTTTCTTTAATTCGATGCGTGCTCTCATTTTAGTGCCTCTTTATGTGTTTCATTTTTTGTTGGTACACATTTGACACTGCTTTGAAGCTCGCAGACGCTCTTGAAATAAGTATATTTTGAAGGGTTATGCGACGTCGCTGCTAGTTTTTCTGCTACGTGAGTATTCTTTTTTGTTTTCGATATTTCTTTTTTTATTTGATACGTTCATCGTTCCAGTACACACTAGAAGTTTTTTTTTTGCTTCTGGGGCATTCTTCTTGAACGCTTGAAACTTTCTAACTCGGTTTACTTTCTAATTACTAGTTAATAGGGTGTCAAACTCGGCGCCTGCACATTCAACTTCGCCGTAAAAAAGCGTGAACAACATTACAAACACCTTCAGACACCATCACGAGAAAGGACATTTCAATCAAAGCAGCTCTCCAGATAAAGAAGAATGCCTTCGAAAAGAGAACAACAAAAACTCTCTTAAAGCGACAACCATTGCTCGTAACGAAGAGAAACAGCGATACAACATTTGAATAATACCTTACCTATTACCTTACACACTTTTAGTGGAAGTTGCGGCAGCTGCGGTGCGACAAATAAGGGTGCGATTCTTCTTCTGTAAACTCTGTAATATTCAATCATCTTTAACGAAATTATCAAGAGTGGGTGCCTTACAAAGTTTTTCTTAGAGCATTTTTATAACAAGTCTCATTTTTTCACCTTGTCAGAAGAAGAAGTTATCAAAGACCGTGCTTACTTGCCAGCGCTAAAACATGGCTGTTGAACAGCCTGCAAGTTTCAAGCGTTCAAGAAAGAATGCCCCAAAGCCAAAAAAAGAACTTCTAGTGTGTACTGGAAACGATGAACGTATCAAACTAAAAATAAGAATAATCGAAAACAAAAAAGAATACTCACGTAGCAGGAAAAACTAGCAGCGACGTCGCATTAACCTTCAAATATACTTATTTTCAGAGCGATGCGAGCTTCAAAGCAGTGTCAAATTGGTGTACCAGACAAAAAATGAAACACATAAGAGGCGACTAAAATGTAAGAACGCATCGAATTAAAAAAAGGACTAATAAAAAAACAAAAAAGGAAACTCACCGTAGCAGCAAAAATCGTGGCGAGATGCGTGTTGAAACCATTGACAAAATCACTTTTCGAAACGACTGCAACCTTCAGAACAGTGTCAATGTTGAGTTCCAGACAATAAACGGAAACACAGCAAAGACATCGAAATGAAGAGCAAGTCGAATAAAAAAGGACTAAAAAAAACAAAAAGAAAACTCACGTGGCCAGCAAAAATCGTGGCGGTGGCGGTGAAACCTTGACAAAATCACCTTTCGAAACGACTGCAACCTTCAGAACAGTGTCAATGGGAGTTCCAGGCAAAAAACGGAACACAGCAAAGACACCGGAATGAAGAGCAATCGAATAATCCAGGAAATTAAGGTAAAAAACTGAATAAAATAACGTATTCGTAAGAACTTTATGAGGAAAGAAAACAGTGAAACAACCACGCTATATTATGTTGAAAAACATCATTAGTTAATATAAATAACTTAACTCTGCTTAAAGAAGCCTGGCGCAGTGAAATACCAGTTTGCAGCCGAATAATGTTGGAAAGCAGATTCGGCCGTCAAGTACTCTGCGACATCCAGACGGAAGAGCCCACCCTAGTGACTGTACCTATGGAGGAAGAGTGGAGAGAAAGCAGAGACGACGAGGCAGTGTTTTGCACAATTGACACAGGCATTTCACGGCAAACTTCCATAGGCACGCAACCGCCGACGCTGCTCGCAATGTAGCCCGCGGCCCCGCCCTCCCCGACTTCGAGATATGGACTGTACTTTGTCCTCTCCCAAACCCACATTGTTCTTCCATTTCCGCTGTCTTCTTTCTCAACGTTGTCAAGCTGAAGCAGGCTTCGTTGTTCGGATCGAAGAGCACCACTTCTTGTTCGATTAAGCGCATCTTCGCGACACAGTTGTGCAGGAGTAGTGTCTGTTGATCATTTCCTTCCACCGCTGGCTTGGTCACTTTGGTCCCACGGGGTCGTCTGCGCGTTTTCGTTCTTTTGAAACGATGTATTAGGTTGAAAGAAAGTTCTGCAACAATCTTTCTAAAATTTTCTTTTTTTCTGAAAAATTCTAAGTAACATTTATGACTAACAAATGGTAAAGCATACTCGAGGCTTCAATCTTCGAGGTGGGCATAAGTGCTGCGGCCAGTAGTTATCCAAGAAATTCAAAAAATCTCGACCACTAGTAAATCCGTGATTGTCTACTACAAATTTCTGCCGAACTATGGATTCCTGTCAAAGTCGAACACCATGTGCAATAGCTTCGATAAGCATGCCGTTCACAGCTACAGCATGTTTACCTTTACCAGCGCTTTCGATCATTGATATTTTAACAAGAAGCCAGCAGCGTCCCGCACACTCCGTTATAGAATGAGCTCTTATAGAAGCTCCGCTACAAATTCTTTGTTACGGGCACCATTACGTAGCTAACAGTCTAGGCTGCGGAACTTCAGAAGCTGGCCGAGGCAGCTCGTCAGGAGCCCTCGTATCTCGACAATATTTCTTTCTTTCATGACATTGCGAATCGCCATGATCCGAAATGAGCCCGCTAAGAAATTCTGGAGCTGCGGCAAGGTTTCTTACCTCCCTTAGCGGACTGCCCTGGTCGAGCTGTTAATGAATGCCACCTGTCCTAGACCTCAAATCATCCTTTTGATGGCGAAATAATTAGACGATCAACTCCAACTCGAAAATGAGATCGATTCCTTTCTCGAGCCGCATTCCGCTTGGTTTTGGCAAAGGAGCATCAAGAAATTTTCTGAGCATTGAAGACAATTGGTGGACACGCATGGTAGATATAAGATCCGTCAGGAGTTGTAAACAAAAAAGATAAAATTGAAATTAAAAATTCGAAAAAGTGTTGCAGGACTTTCTTTCCAACCATACAATGGTATCAGCAGTGTTAGGTTCAGCACCGTCACACGTGCTGAACCTAACACGACCGTATCTCTCGCACTTTTTGCGTGATAGGCACATCTCCCATGCGCCGTCGAATCACTTCGTTGCAAATGTGGTCTAGTCCTAAGATGTCCGGCGACCACCGAAGCATCCTCATCTGCATAGCGTAAAGTTGAATTATTACTTGATTGTATCCAAACGAGGATGAAAAGCTGCGGTGGGAGCGCTGATTCTTGATGACGTTAACGTTTATCGAAAAACACTCGGAGAGACCAGCTGCACCTCACTCGAGAAGTGCTGCCCGCACACAGCATTCGGATCCATTTCATGAGAACTTATGGCAATACTTATTGTTGTCCAAGCGCATACCAGAGTAGATAGGTGATGTGGAACGCGGTCCTACGTCTTTTCCAAGTCCAGGAGGGCTAGGTGGAGCGGCTTTTTTCTCCTCATATTTCTCCAAAGCGCAAAGATTATATTGGGTACTCGAGAGCCCTTTACGTATCCGCACTGGTTGATGCTTAGCTTTACGATGTTCTGTCAACGTTGATTCAAACATTCCGCAGGATTTCTTTTATCTAAAGGTTTTTATATTTAAGCCCGTAGTCCATTCATTTGGAGCGCGGCCAGTGTTGATGACTAGTTTAAAAAATTGCATGAGCCAAGCTTGTTCGCTGATTACTTCCTAGAGTTCTCCGGGACGTAGAGCAAAGAGTTTCATATTTTCTGGGCTTCTTACGAATTCCTTTCCTTTTTTTGGCTGGCCGTTCAACTAGCAGCCCCATTTTTATATTCGAGAGAATTCCCTCATAAATTTGATAACGATCCTTGCCTCCAAGCGGAACGTTGCGGTAGCCCATGTGCCCAAGAAATTTCTTTTAAAAATGTCGACGTTCAGATGCTCATATGTACCAAGAGGGAAAGTTGGAGTTTCAATGAACAGAGAGCTCGCTTCACGAAGAATTTCCAGAATGTGGATGACCGCTTTGATTTTGGACTAGGTGACGTCATTTTCAAAGAAAACTAAGCCTATCAAATGTAATATTCGGATGTGCTATTCACTTTATGAGATAAAAATTTGTTACATGTTGAGTGTTGAGTGTTTTTCTGAGGCTCCTTGAATAAATTTTCTAACTGATAAGTCGAACCGGAGGATATGCTTTGACGAGTGGTGATACATATCGCGGCCACGGTGGGGCAGTCAATTGACGACTCTAACTCGCCCGCTTTTCACAGGCTCTTATCAGTTAATTGACACGAGGCCCGTCTGAGAGGATCAGTGCGCTGGTCTGTGCAGTCCAGTACTAACGCTCTCCGCTCCTCTCCCGCACACGAATAAGCGGTTATGTGAGCCAAACCGAATACATATAAGTCAGTTTCGCAGTGCACGCTATCGCGCGCATATAGCGGTTTCTTGACGGTGAAATGCAGCAACACTTCTGGGCACTATGTGCCTCGGGGGGGAGGGCCAGTCACCGCGCGCGGCTGTGCGGCAACAGGAAATTCGAACATTCCAGCTTCTCACGCATGTCATGTGACTGCCCTCACTGTTTTGTGACTGCCCTCACCCCCAACTCCCCCCCTCTGAATTGGCTACACTCCCCCTGGCTCACGAATTTCCTGTTGCGCGCGGCGACTGCCCCCGCCCCCCCCCCGAGGCACATTGCGCCCACTTCTGCTCTCCATTAGCATTTGATCACCTCTCCCTTGGCTAATCTTTAAGCAATGAGTTTTTATTCCTAGCTAGATCAATCTCACACGGGTGGACACTCCGTTCACTATTATCACTTCGTCCCTCCACTTACTTCACCAGCGCATATTAGGGTTTTTGGCAAACTCCGCCCACTTCAGTACGCGCCCGCCCAAGATTGACCATTTATTTATTTACTCATTTTTACAATTGACATCCCTGTTTGCTCTCAATCTACTTTTTATCTTGTTCTTTGGGCTTTCGAACCGAATAGATTTCTTGGAAACAAAGTAAAGCTCCGCCTGGGCGGGCGGTCGCTCTCTACACGGGTGTCCGGTATTCCTACACTTTTTATTCTTCCCCAGAATTAGAATTTTCTTTTGTTCCATGTGCCGGCAAGCGGGTTGTGATCTTTTTTAATAGCCCCTCCAGTTCAAAAAACGCTCCTTTCCCTTCTATGGGTGGGTTTCCCAAAAATGCGAATCTGCTCCTTCCTAGCCATCGTTCCCGGTCATGGGCTCTCCTTGCATGGAAGTAGAATTTTTGCTCTCTACACCGACGGATCCTCATCACGGCGGGCTCCGGTCAGCCGATGTTTGTGCTTATTGGTCCATGCCTCACTTAGCCCGAACCTGACCCAGGTTCTCCATCTGGTTCCTCAAGTAATAGTGACAGACGAACAGATAGACGAAACGAGTGAATCCTGTGCGAAACTCTTAGAAGACAGATGCTTATTTTCAGCATTAAGGGTGCTTTGACACACTCACAGAAATACAGCTGAGACGAAATTACACATTTGACAGATTTGCAGCACATGATTGAATTTTACTGACCGTACACTCAGGCGGAGATCGGTTGGACGCAACAACCGTAAATTCTATAAGCTCCGTAGCTGCATGATTACACCCAGCATAGCAGGAACCAAATTCCATAACTTTTAACTTTTCTGAATCGCTCTAAAAAGTACATAGAAAACATATCCGGTTACTAATGTGCAGGAAGTGACGACGATCATGCGATCAGGGCCTGTACTAGCATATCCTATGTGAACCTCAAGAGTGATTACCAACAGAGGCAGGATTTAGTACCGAGCTGCTTCTAGAATCGAACTGTACCCTGTTGCTCTATTCATATTAGTAACATTCCGGTATCATGTGACTAGTATTCTCTCTTTTTACCAATACACTAACAGTTTATCGTAAACTTAGAGCCTGAAGAACCTCTTCCTCTGCGAACAGGAGCATTTACATGTTATATGGCACTTTCGCTCTTGCATCCATAGCATTCCAATATTGTCAGTTTATGCAATGTTTATCAGAACATGTGAGAAAGCTGAAGTTTCATATCTCTCATT